TGAATGTTTAAATTAGCATTTCCTATACACCACACAATTTTGAAAATATTTTGACTCATTTTGAGCTATTTAAGGACATTTACCGCTTTCAATTTTTTTTAGTTTTTTTTTTCTAAAAATATCAATAAAGTTTTATTTTGGCACAGTTTTTTTTTATAAGCATTTAAAGATCGAATTTTGACAAAATTTATCAAAATCTCGAAAATTATCAATCATTGTAATTAATAAATTATAAAATATTCAGTTTTTATAGCTAAGGATAGCAAATTTAAAACAAAGGTTCTCATAAATAGTTCATACTGTAACCAAAAAATCTAAAAAATACATGAACACAGTTATTTTTTTACAGACATTTTAATTTCAAATTTGGGCGAAATTACATATTAAAAAACCTAGAATAACTATTTTAGTTATTTTGTTGTGATTGAATAATATTATTCGTGAGTACTTGAAACTTCTAAAGTGTACTATTTTATATATATGATAGTATCACGGTTTTTGTTGATGTATAACGCGTTATAAGCACCTAATGGATATAGTAATATGATTAATTTTGAATTTATTATAGGTACCTATTATAGGTCAAATTTTGGTTTAGTACCATAGATATGTATATAATAGGTCTTATACCTAGACTGACATACCGTCTCCGCTCAGAATCGTTTTTCTTATACAATGACATTATATTTTTGAATTCAAATTTAATATCATCCATTATACAGTGACCCACTTGTAACCTACTGTACAGCAGAGCGATACCCACTTGCCCACCTTTTTGTATTCATAAAATTACTCCGAAAAATATTCTGCTTCAGAAAATAAAATAAAAATTGTATATGGAAATGTATATTATGTAAAAATGTCATTAAAAATAAAATAAAACATTAAAAATTGCACAGAATATAATTTTTTTTTAGACATTTTTATTTTGAAATTTTATCAAATTATGAAAAAATATATTTTCACTAAACGATTGGACGGATACCAATTTTATGATAGTAAATTTACGTTGACGTTTTAGCATTTGGTGAAACTGCTCCTGTTTTTTGTGCGAAAAATATATACAGAATTATAATCAAAGTACCAAAAACTTTATATATAAGTGCAAAATCATAAAATTTGTCACTGTAATTGTTTTCGTGTATTCCAACTAAAACAAAACGTGGGTCAAAACAACCCAAAATATCAGTGTAAAAATCTTTGCAATTTACATTTAGCAGAGTTTAAGAAGGGGTAAGTACCGGGTCAATCTACGGGCAACGCTCTACATTATCAGTTATACAGAGTGTACCTTATGTCATTGTACGCGTGGGTTTTTAACGATTATTAATCGATGACATAGAAATTCGTTAACACGAAAAAAGATGTGTTTCTTTATTTTTAACAGGCAGTATTTTAATAACAATTTCAAAATTTTTAAACACGCAGGTGTATCAATAGCAAAACTAACTTTATTTTTTCAAATGGTTACTAGTATATTTTTTAATGGATTCCAGTAAAGATTTTTTTTTCTGAACATTTTGATAGTCAAATCATCAATTTTGGTTCACTATAGCTTACTAACGATGGTCCTCTAATGTATAGTAAAATATGCATTAATACTTTTAATTGGAATAATATTGGTATAGGTTTAATTTACAAGAGCTAAATAATTTTTTCTTATAACTAACTTTTATAACTTAAAATTTGAACCATAAGTGTCCTATATTGGTAGGTTTCGCATGCAAAGTATGAATTTAGCGGTTGAAATTCTTTAAGAATTATTTAATAATCGTGATTTAAAATAAATTATTTAGATATTTAGATAAATAGTCAATCTCAATATAGGTTTGTACATTGTACCTAACTTAAGCATACTTTTAATCTAAGTTAATTACAGATGTCCAATATTATTATAACAAAAATCAAATACCATTAGCCATTAGGTATTATCTTAGTGGCTTAGTCCTTATAGCCACCTAATAAAGAATCCAAATTAATGCTATTATAAGAAAAGTATGATAGGAATTTATGATAGGAAAAGTACGAAATAAAATGTTTATGTCCAAAAGTAAAAAATAAGAAGGGTTAAGAACCTAACCTATAATATGGTTCAAATTTCAAGTGTATCCCATTACAAGAAGAGCACCACAAATCATTGCATTTTTTTCATTATACACAATTTTTTTAACCCCCATAGGTACATACCTAAGACATTAATGTCAACAATCGAATACCATTAACCAATATACCATTATTACTTTAGCCACCTAATAAAGAATCCAAATTTAAGATATTGAAAGAAATGTAACTGTGAAGTAATTAATTACGATACCTTTAGTAACAAATTAAGATAATAATACTGATTTTGATGATTGTACCTATGTTAAAATAAAAATAATGAACTATGTTTGCCAACAATTTTGTTTGTTTTTTTTTTTTGAGATAGAGAGTTTCATTAGATTACCGATTAAACTACTTACGTGTATAAAAAGGTAGTATAAGAAAAAATTATTTAGCTCTTGTAAATTAAACCTATAAAAACTATTTCAATTAAAAGTATTTATGCATATTTTACTAAACTTTAGAGGACCATAGTTAATAAACTAGGGAAACAAAATTGATGATTTTACTTTTAAAATGTTCAGAAAAAAAAAAGCTTTACCGGAATCCATTAAGAAATATACTAGTTACCATTTGAAAAAATAAAGTTGGTTTTGCTATTGGCTGCGTGTTCAAAAATTTTGAAATTGTTATAAAAAAATTGCTTGTTAAAAATAAAGAAACATAATATCTATTTTCGTTTTAACGTAATTCTATGTCATCGATCCATAATCGTTAAAAAACCCAGCGTACAATGACATAAGATGCTCCCTGTATAATGTATGGTCGTAAATTATAATAATATGACGTATTTGCCGATTGCCCATTCGTTGGCAGACATACTGATTACTAACACAATTATAGTAGGTATGATATTATTATAATGTGATGATGTCGATGACAATTTATACTCTTCGCCACTGCGGTCGTCAAACTGGGAAATTTTAAACAGGTAGGTAGGGCTACAACACGATTGCGCAATTTTTCCTTTTTTGACCCGGCTAATTACACCACGATTGCGCAAAAAATTTGCAACACGATTGCGCCCCGATCCCTTTTTTACCTGTTAAAATCACAACACCATTGCGCACCTAATGACATGTGTATATACTGTATATAATAATTAATATACAACATAAAATAATGTATACATACAATACATTTTCATATACATGCACTTAAACCATATAACTAGTTATTATTCACAATTTTCCTTCCCAATTATTACAGGTTTTAGGACTGTCAACAAATTATCATCGTTGGCTTGGTTAAAAATTATTTTTTTCTAAATTAAATATGTCGTAAGTCGATATTTTTTTAGAGTAACCTAAATAATATTATTATTGTCGTTGACGATGCATCGTATCGGACGACGGCTGACCGCTATGGGATAAATTCGAATAATTTAATATAGGTTCCCATTAGGGTTGCCACCTCTCCGTGTTTAAGTATAAATCTACGGGCTCCGGGTTCAGTGAATTATTCTCCGGGTCGGAGATAAAGATAAGATAACATACGATTTTTTATTAGTTTCCGGCACGGACTAAGATATAATGGACTGGAAACGAGCAGCTTATCATGGCCACGAATGTATGTACAAGAGGCAAAGTGCGGGGGGTCGCTATGTGTTCTTGGAGTTCACAGCGCCCTCTGTATTTAACACGGACTAAGATACAAATTGTGTAGCCAAATAAAACCACCGGTAGCGCTGAAAACTTCAAGAACAGTATTCTTATCAGCTAAGTGACATCTTTTCGTGGCCGTCCCCCGATCCCCGCCGACCATGTCGTTTCCAGTCCATTATATCTTAGTCCGTGGTTTCCGGTATAAAAACCATTTATTCAAGATAACAAGAATAATAAGATTATGAACTACGGTTTATGACTTTATGAGTCTACGATTACGATTTTACGAATCAGTTTCAATATCACAGTCGAGTGTCGAGTTTGATCAAATCCGAATATCTGCTTTTAATTTTTGTGTCAGTGTAACCGTGCATCGATATTATAAAACTACACAGAATTTGAAAAGTAATTCATTAACGACCACATTTATGACTAAACGACCTTTTTTTTTTTTTTTGCTTATTGGCCTGTCTCCGGGGCTGCTTTCTTTCAAAGGTGGCAACTCTAGTTCCCATATTATTATACTACAGTAGCGTTGGTTACTACGACCGTTTTGTAGATTTTAAACAATAATCGTACACGGAAACGTTAAATTAAACGAACTATGGATACGCAAAAAAAATTTGTTTCGACAAATAATAAATTCATAGATATTTTAAAAAAACAAAATTTTTTACTATAAAGCAAAACTATTTTAATGGCTGATGGAGCAGAAAACGCAAACACTAACGTGAAACCAGAAAAAGTTGAAAAAAACAAATCAAAAAAAAAGAATAAGTCAAAAGATTAAAAGCTTTCGGTGTTAGAAACGCACGGGTACACTGTTGGCGAAATCGTGGGTAGTGGATCATTCGCTACCGTTAAGGTTATAAATTGTATAATGTATCTAATAGTACCTACCTATTTAATTCTCAACTAATACGATACACAATAAATGCTATTATTTAAAACAATTATTGATAAAAAAAAAAAAATTTAATACGTTTCAAAATAGTATGTACCTACCTATAGATTGCACATTCCAAACGTCATAGGTGCAATGTGGCAATTAAAATTGTTTCAAAACTTCAAGAGGCGAGCGATTATTTAGAAAAATTCCTACCCAGAGAAATCGAAGTGCTCAAAAGCCTTAGGCACGATAATGTAATCAGATTCTATGAAGCGATCGGCACAACACTTCGGTAATAATTATTATATAGATTCTTTTGCAGTCGTGCATTATTATCCATACTTACCTATCTAATGTGCATCAATAGAAAAATATACACTTGGCATTTTAGAGTTTACATCATTATGGAATACGCGGAAAATGGGAGTTTATTGGACATCATCAAAAGAGACGGTAAAATAGACGATAATAAAGCTCGAAAATGGTTTATGGAACTTGTTAACGCTGTAGAATATTGCCACTCAAAAGGAGTCGTACACAGGTACCAATTTTAAGTGTCTTATACTTTTATTATAGATCAGGGGTCAGCAACCAGACGATCGATATTGGCTGGTCGATCTTTAGAGAAATATTGGTCGATTTTATTAAAAAATAAAAATGTATTTAATAATATGAATAATATACCTACCAAAATAAATAGTAGACGACCATCAAGGTATAGGTACCTAGGTACTTAAAATTAGCTCACTTTAGTGGCATAGCAAGGATTTCTAAAAGGGAGCCAATAAAAAAAACCTTATAAAAATTAAATTTGTATTGTTTTCACAATACATAAAAAATATAGAGATTGTCGATGTGGGAGGGGTAAATAGCCACTCTACCACCCCCTCCCCCACCCATCGTTTAAGACACTGGTTCACTTGTTGGGAAACGTTGGCGAACTCTCTGGCCCTGTTATAGATAGACCATAGACAGCCGTCGTTTACATAGAAATCAAAATGATTTTTGTTCTCAGAGACATAAAATATGAAAACTTGTTGATGGACACCAGTTACAATATCAAGTTATCGGATTTCGGATTCGCTCGAAATAATATGATAAAGAAAAATGGTCAGATGAAAAAGAGCAGCACGTTCTGTGGCAGTTACGCTTACGCCTCACCAGAAATAATAAAAGGCATATTTTATCAGCCCAATACCTCTGACATTTGGTCCATCGGAGTAGTGCTTTACGGCATGATATTTGGAACTCTGCCCTTTGAGGCTTTGACCATACAAATTATCAAAAGTTACTAAAAGTAGGTACCAAATTGTTTGCAGCATTATATAATGTATCAACCGTGTGTCTTCAGTGCCACGGTGAACTCATATTATATTCATGATGATAGAAATCACGGGTCTGGATAGACCAAGAATAATTTTTTAGAAATTTGATTGAAGTTTCTAGAGGGCTGAGAGTAGGGCTGGATTAAAGGATTCTTGGTTGGGTTAATATTGAATATTTAATCTGCCCTGGGGTTCTAAATTCTAATTGTTATTACTCTCACCACGCCACTGATAACGTAAATAATAGATAATAACTAATGATGAAGTACCTATAAAAATCATTTAGAAACGAATATTTTTTGTCTTATTTTTTTTTCACTAGCAAGTACAAATGCCAGTTTCATTCCCTCGAGACGTAATTATTTCCGATTCCTGTAAGCAGATGATAATAAAATTACTGGCACCGTTGAAAGTTCGTTTGAAAATATCAGATATTAAAAATCAACCGTGGAGTCAGCTGACAGACAAAAGTCCAACTGATAAAAATGAGGCCGAACAAACAGTATCTTGACGAGTAATTAACGAGAAGATATTAATAATTATGTAGTAGGTAGTACCTATATTAATATAAATAGTATTCAAGAGTGTTGTCAACGGATCTGTTTTTTATGAATTTAATATAGGCAATTTACGAGAGCATTTGGTCTGTATAAAACCTAATGTGTGGATAATATTATGTAATTCCGTAAATTGTCAATTTTTACATTTATATTCTTTTCAAATGTATTCAGAATACGTATTTAAATAATTTTTAAAAACATTCAATGTATCTACATTACAAATCCCTACCTACTCTTTTTTTTAGTTAAAAGAGGGTAACTTTTGCAGTTCCTTAACCAAAGGGGGGAGCAAGTGACCCCCTGAAATATTAGTATGAACAATGGTGTCATAAAGCAACAGGTGAAAATATTCTAGTCCTATAAAATCTAGAGAAAAAAATTAAGTGCCCCTCCTCCACCCAAAATTAAAAAATGTTTTGGGCTACGGCACTGATAGATTGATAAAATGTGCTAGTTGAATACTATCTTCAAAGACGTCCAAACTGTTATAGTATTATAATATGAGTCCGTGGTTATCTTTTTCCAACAATATTAGCCCCTCATCTCTCTCTGCTATAAGACCATTTCTTTAAAGAATTTATTATAAGCTACAGGCCTATTATAATACTATTGTGTGAGTAGTAAACTAGTAAACGAACATACTATTATGTACACAATGTCGCCGACGTCGAAATCATTACGTGTCTCATATCCACGATTAAAGATAGTATGGTTGCACAACGACCCATAATAAAGTGTTTCTCAGAGTTTCCTTGTTATCACAACGACTAGCAGAACCAAGCATTAGCGCTCCTAGCGTTTAAATATTGAATAATAATTGATAATATACTATTTTTAACCGTGTCATGAATTTACGTTATAAAAAATAAAATACAGAATAACAAATAATAAATTTATATTTTATAAATTATAATATTGTGTTGTTACATTACATAATTTTTATATTTTAATAAATAATAATTATATTTTAACAATATTAATAATACATTTTTGATGATTAAATAAAGTATAATATATATACTTCCTTTTCAGTGTAAATTATAATTTAAGTTAACTACCTACGAGTTTTGATAATTTTTTTTTAGTTTTATTTTTTTTTTATTAATTTGATTTTTAATATAATATGTATACTGTCTCATTCTCATTATAACAAATGTGCTACATATATCTGTGAGAATATCAGTTTGGTCATTGGTGCACATTACATTCAAATGTCAAAGGATTATTAGTACTTAGAAAATCGGGGAGGTTAGGGGTTATATCCCCCCCATTGGCTTTTTTTTGTTGACTTCAACTTATTAGATATCACCATATAGACATATAAAAATGTTTATTATATATTATATAATTGGATATGGATATTACTTTTAAAATTATCAGTAATAAGTTACCTATTGCTTATAAATTATTGCCCATTGGCTAATATAAACATTCACTATACGGACGGCCCGGACGGGTGGTTAAATTTTCGTTTGGAATAATTAAGTTGTTTTTAAGAATTATTTTTCTTTTGTATATTAATTATTTTAATAAAGGTTATAAATATTTTTAGTTTAACGTTGTCATTTTATTTAAACAATAGTGTATAGTGTGTGGCTATTTAAATTAATTCTAATTGTAGAAAAAATGTATAACATATATCCCCCCCCCCCATTGAAATTTCCTGGGCACGCCACTGTATATCATATTGTTCTATGGTTATATTAACCTTTATTTTATAACTATCAATATAATATTAATTATTATAATATTACTGAACTGTACTTGAATTGCACAAATACGTAAATACTATTATAATATGTTATGGGAGGGTAGTAATTTTTGGTGAGGAAATTATCAGTACTATCAATGCTTAAATTATTGTAACACACCACGGACGTATATACAGGACTGGTCACGAACACTCTTTACTGTATAAGCCTTCAGAAAATTAGTGTCACGCTTATGGGCCCACTTGACTATGCTGACATCTAGCGGACAATAAAGCAACTAGTCGTTTATTTCGAAATAAATTGTATTTCCATTAACATTTATGATGTTATAATATTCTAATAATATTGTGTGTATCGTATATTTTAGTATACGTCCATTTCAGTGTTAAAAATGAAAATGGAAATAAAAATAATTAAATAGTTTTGCAATTAAATATAATACAAATAGATAGCGCAATGGTATTCCTGTGGTCCCGAGTATTGTCCCGAGCGTGACACTAATTTTCCACTGATAACGGCTCGTGCCCAGTCCTGTATGTACGTCCGTGTAACACACCATCATCTTAGGTTTGTTCTTAAAATAGTTTCTGAGTAGAAAGTATTTTAACATATTCAAAATATTAAATTGGTGGGATTTACGAAAAGTTGAAAATTAGCGTTATCTATCAGTTGCGTTGTTAGTTATTGGAAACCAAAACCGACATGTTTTGCTTCATAATATTTATTCTGATAGGGCATCTCTATAATACTCTATGGGTATAAATCACGATGTAGAGAAGATAAGGTGACACCGCTCCCGTATCTTTCAATGGTACAATATTGGCGCAAAAAATCACGGCAGTTTGGTAGTTCAGAATTTAACACCAGAGTACGCCACCCTTCGTTCGAAGGCCGACTTTTATACGAGTCGTAATGGAGATAGATTTAAATTTTATTTAAATGTATTAATTATTGTTGTTCAAATGTCGATAGTCAGCTTGCCAACATAATATATTTTATGTTATATTGTATAGATTATTAAAATAAACTAATGTTTTGGAATCATGTACCAATTATTATGTAAAAATTGTAATAATATTATATGGTATGTAGCCATATCGTATAAATTTATTGATTTAAATAAAATGCATATTTATTTTATGATATTTATATGTTTATTTATTAATTGACACATATATGTACAAAAATGGAATTAGTAATATCTACGTACAATAAGTATGGATAAGGACGAGTTTAAACTGTTAATAAAAACTCAAAATATATAGGTACTACTACCGTCTACCAGCTACTGACCCAAGTACACCTAAATAAAAATCATAATTATAGGTACCCATATGATATTGATATATAATAACAAAAAAAAAATTAAATATTAAGCAATGATGTAGAGAAAATATAATATTTACAATAGAGAATAGAATATATTATCAGTTAAAATAATAATATAAACCTAATATAAGTAGTATAAGTAATTGATAATATTCTATTTTTAATTTTAATTTACATAATTGTTTGTATTTACACAAGTCTTAAGAGTTAAGACTCCCTTAATGGTCTGTGCCCTGTGGATTGTTTAATAATATTTCGTATATACTTTCTTATTTTGTTAAAAAATGCCAAACAAATGTTTTGTGCCAGGATGCAAAACTGGCTATGCCAGTTACAACAAAAAGTTAAAAGTAGAAAATAAAAAACCACCTATTTTATTTCGTGCACCAAAGGTGAGTCATAATTTTTAAATACCTACTATAGAGATTTATTTGAGGGAAACATTTGTATAATTTTCTTTACCACCTAAGTACCTCTAAAAGGGCATTATTAATGATACATATTTGTATGTGTTTAATAAAGTAAACTATTTATACAATTTTAATAAATTATAATTTCAGATCAAAATATAGCTTAATTGCAAACCTAATTTTGTTCTATTAAAATATGTAGTAAATATAATTATATAATTATATTATAATATAAATATCCTGAATTCTCTATATTATAAAATAGATAAATTCTGACCTAAAAAAAAAGTGTACACTGTGCACTATGGAATAAAAATAACTAAGTTGATTTTATACATAATATTTACAAAGCACCATAGTTAAAATAGTAAAAAAGATAAATGATTAATATATAGAAATGAAAATCATCAAAAAAAAATTACATTGAAGTTATAAAAATATTTAATTTTACTTTAGGATAATCAATCTCTGGAAGTTTGGAACAAACATATTCCCCGTGATGATAAATTATTAAGTGAAAAAGATTATGTTTGTGAATTACACTTTGAGGCCACTAGTATTATTAAATATGATGAGTTCAATATTACTGAAGGAGTTGTAGAAAAACTAGAAAGGACTACTCCAATGTTAAAAACAGATGCAGTTCCTACAATTTTTCCAGGTCTTCCGAAATATTTAACTACAACAATAAAAAAACGTCCAGCACCAAAATTACGTTTGATAAATCCTATAAAAAAAGAAAAGATTGATGAGAATATTGTGTTAGATTATGAAGAGAAAAGTGAAACTGAATATAACATTAGAATTCTGCACCAAGAGGCCTCAACTATTCCTCTTCCTGGAACCATGTGGGGGATTCACACTTCTCCAGGAAAAACTATACTTGCTCATTTAAATTTGAAATTAGAATGTGATAAAACTATAGTATTTACTGACAATTGTATACCTATAGTACATATTTCAAAAAAGCTAGTTGAATTTCCAGAAATAAAATGTAATTTAGATCTCCAAAAACTTGTACGAACAATTGATGAATTAATTCCTTGCACTGGATATACTGAGAACGGCTTTCTATCTTCTGAATGTATTGGTTATGTAAAACAAGATCTGTCATTAGCAAAAAATTCTAAAAGAAAGATAAGGTGTATTAATTGTAGCGAATTAAGAAGAAAAAACCAACGAAAATATAAAAAAAAACCAAGAGTCAAAGTTATTGCTTCTAAACTAAAAATTAAAAGTGACCTACATAGAAAACTTTGTAGAAAAGTTAGTATGATTTGTATAAAATATAAATTAATAAATGTATACCTGTTAGTAAGATGTTTGTTAATTATTATTTTATAGGTTCTTTCTTTAAAACAACAACTCAATTTAATTCTAAAAAAGTATGATGACCTTACTCAAACACAATTATCGTCATATACAGAAAAACTACCTGAAAAACAAAAAGAAGCTATTAATGCATGTTTTAACGCAGCAAACTGTAAATCATCAAATGGCCGACGTTACACAACAACATGGGTATATGAATGTTTACTTATGCGAATCAAATCACCAAAGTTATATCGTAAAATGCGCAGGGATAACATTCTACCTTTACCATCTTACACCACTTTACAGAGATATATTAAAAAACTCCGTCCTGTATATGGTTTTTCTGATGCAACTATTAAAATGATGGGATTAAAAGTCAAAGAAATGACTGAAATGGAAAAACATGGTATTGTTTAAAAATATTATAGGTTTTTATTTTTTTTTTAATATTTTATTTCCTATGATACCTAGGATGTTTGCTTATAGATGAAATGAAGCTATCAGAAGCACTTTCATTTAAAAAATCTAGTCTACAGGTTGAAGGATTTGTAGACCTTGGAGAATATTCCACAGAGAAAGATCAGGACAAGCTTGGAGACCATGCACTTGTCATATTATTTCAGCCATTTTGTGGAAAATGGTTCCAACCTATTGGTGCTTTTTTGGGGGCAGGTGCTGTTCCTGGAACAACCTTGGAAAAAATTATAATGGAGGCAGTAATAATGCTTGAAAATCAAGGTATCCATGTAGATTGTGTTACTACAGATGGTGCAACTTGGAACCGCAGTATGTGGAAACTTTTTGGTATAGGTCAGAAATCTTCTAGCTGTATACATCCATCAGATTCTAAGAGACAACTATGGTTTGCTTCAGATTTTCCACACCTCATAAAAAATTTAAAATCTAGAATAATTAACAACAAAGTATTAGATGTAAGTTATAAAAGACAAGAATTCATTTTATTTTTAATTACATTGTAGTTTAGTTATTAATTATTAAGTTATTATAAAACTAAAATAAATAAATTATTATTAGGTATATAATAGATTATAGGTAGGTATATAGAATTTTTCAATTCATTTTTTAGCCTTTTTATATTTGTTTTTTTTTTAAGACTCCAGAAGGTACAGTTGATGTTTCTCATTGGAAATCAATAATTAAAGCAGATTCCTCATTGCAAATAAAAATATGTCATAAACTAACAGCAGATCACATTCGCCCAAAGCATTTTCAAACCATGAATGTCAAAATGGCATTTCAGGTACTTATTAAAATTAAGTAATATTGTATTTTTGAATGATATGTTTTAGGATAAAAAACTATTTTATTTCTGTATTAATTTCAAATTCTGTTAAATAATGTATTATAATCTTTTTTATTATTTTATATTTTATTTGTTGTTGAAGTTTTTTAGTAGATCAGTGGCTGCAGCAATGGAATATTATAAAGATAAAGTTCCAGAATTGAATAACTGTGAAGCAAGTATTGCATTTGTAAAAAGGATAGACCAAGTTGTAGATGCAATGAATTCACAAATTCCAAAAGATGCTTTAAGGCCTGATCCTGAGTCAATTCATAACAAAGTAAATAGTTTAATGATTTATGACACATACCTACTTATTTTGATGAATATTAAGTACAATAAGACATTTTAATTAATATATTATATACCTATGTGGGCATGTGGCTATGTATAATATTATGTACCTTATTAATAATTTAGGTTCTCTCTGATTTCTTGATTTATCTTGATGAACTGGATAATATGAATACAACATCTCAAAGGAAATTAACTTCATCGACTGCATTAGGCCTCCGTGTCACAATTAAAACAGCACTTGAATTGGTGAAATATTTAAGTGACAATTTTCAATTCAAATATTTACTAACAAGACGAATAAATCAAGACACCCTAGAAGTGAATACATCATTATTTTGATAAAATAATTTAAATCATGACATGATTAAAAAAATATTATTTACCTAGTTGGTTGAATTCATACAATTAATATAAATTAATTTTTGCAGCACTTTTTTGGAAGTGTACGAGATGCGTGTGGATCGAGTTGTCATCCTGACTCAATATTGTTCATACAAGTTTTTCGATTACTTTCAACATATGCTCTAGTAAGACCACCTCGTGGAAGTAATGTCTCTGGTGGAGAACTATTAGAGACAATTACAACTATGAAGGACGTAATAGGTGATGAAAATTATAATAAAAAGATTGATTTTGAAAATAAAATTGATGACATACTCGACAATGTTCATGAAATACCAGTCGATAATTTGATCTCAATAGCTGATCATGACTATACTGCTCTCCAAATAAATGAAGATGCTTTAACTGTATTAAGTGGTTATGTTGCAAGGAAGATGAGAAGAGTAAAACCTGCCAAATGTTGTCAGGAATGTTACACCATGTTGTGTGCCCCAGATAATCATGAAGTACAAGATAGAGAAAAACTCCTAGAATTGAAAACTCGTGGTTATTTACTTGTACCATCTAAAAAACTTTATGAAATTATTTACCAAGTAATATAATAATATAATATATAAATATATATTATAAATATAAATATGCAAACAATTTGCATATGTATAATATATTTGTATACTAACTAATAATAATTTCCTTTATTATTTGTTTTAGCTTGAAGATGCCATTTGCTCAATTATTGCAAGAACTAAAATCCAAAAAAATTTATTATTTTTAATATTAGATGAGCTAAGAACAGAAAAATTTAATATTAACTTACTCGGTTGTGATGAACATGCAAATGCATTGACCAAAAATATTATAACATTTTATTTACAATCAAGAATGTATTTTGTATGTGATGCAGAGAATGCTAATCGAGAAAAAAATAAAAGACAAAAAAATTTAGCGAAGCAGTCGAAACTTATATAACCGTGTACATAAAGTTGTTGAAATAAAATACTTATATAATAAAACTTTCTTAATTTAAACTATTTTAAATGTTACCTAATTGAATAGAATGATTACCTAAAAATAATTCTTACGTGGTTAATATTATAAATTTGAAGTAATAGTGTCAAAAACGACAAAAATGTATATAATTTTTGAAATTTTACGTTAAAAACAATGTATTCACAATATAAAAACCGGCCTTCGGGCGAATGGTGGCGCTACCTACCACACTGCCGAGAAAATTTGCGACCGGAATATGTACAAGTGGACCAGGTGTCACCTTAAGGTGGGTTTCCACTACATACGTGTACGTTCACGTGCATAATTTGACCGGATACGTTCGCTATGAACGGTCGCATAAACGTTTCCCATCGGTTGATCGGTTAGCATTGGTAACATATTAGTTACCTCGTATATTCTTATGTTATCAAAATCGTTATCAATATAGAGCCGTGTACACGTGAAAAGTTGAACTGGATTCAACTTCATGGTATCATGGTCAAGCCTGTGGTAAGAACGTAGAACATTCTGGTATACCAAAAGCTTACCATGTATACCAACCAATCACAGAAAAGTATTTTTATGCACGTACACGCACACGTATCTAGTGGAAACCCACCTTTATCTTCTCTACATCGTGGTATAAATGTATAATATTTAAATTCACGGTACCACATTTTAACGGTTCTATCCACCATCTCGTACCTATACTCTTTGGAACGGCTGTTGATAACGCTGTCTGTGATAGCACTATCATTTGCCGACAAGCATAATGTAAACAAAAAACATAATAATATTATTAATTAATAATTATTATTAGAGGTACCTATGTAATGTCCTATGTAGCCTTTACATTATTACTAATAACTCATAGTAAACACAATAATACCCATGTAGGTTTTATAAAATATGAATTCAAGTTAAATAAATCATCGTAAAATAAACACAACAATTCCCATTTATAATATTAAAATACTAATAAAATACACAGCGACGGTGTTTACTAAAGAAAATGAACAACAATCTTTTACTATAACCTTTTGACATACCAGACCATCGTTACAAACATGAGTTCCGGATTTGTTTCGGAAACTGAGCTTGCCGAACGTCGCAGAATCCGTCAAGAAGAATGGGACAAAGTTAGAACGGCTGAACAGCCTTTGGGTAACGTTTTAGTTCATCTTCACTTGGTAATTTTAATAAAAAAAATTGTTTTGTATAGCGGTGCCCGAAGAACAATATGATCACCGATCATTGTTTGATAGACTCGAGGAACAACGCAGAAAAAAAGAATACGAATATGAAGAAACTCACAAACTCAGTAAATATTTTGCTTGAAATTTGTTAAAAGTACTATCTATAACACATGGATGTTAACAGTTGTAACTGTTCAAAATGATTTAGATGTCAAATGTCTAAGTGTTTAAACTTCAAAGTGTAATAGGAAATTCTGGTTTTTCAAATAAAAATTTTGCTCATATTAAATTTGTTTAGAAAACATGATTAGAGGTCTGGATGATGATGAAGTAGGATTTCTTGAACTGGTTGATAAGACAAAAATGGACGAAGAAAGACGTCAGCTAATTGAGGAGGCCAGACAGATTGAAGAATATCGTTCAAAAGTATCAACTCTTCAGTGTGAAACTATTGTTTCTCCGTTGATGGTCCCTATTCCTAAACCACAGACTTTGAAAAGTAGCGTGTAAGTAATTATGATTCACAGGTCATACTAGTAAAATATTGGTAAAATAAATATGTATTGTATATTTATTGTTTTATCGACAGACCAAGAAAAACACAGAGTAAGCTATTGGCAGGTGCAATCATAAAGAAAAGAACATCCGAGGAAAGCACTAATCCTTCAAAAAAACACAAACCTACCTCTGACGAATCTAAAATATTACCAGAGAAATTAACAAGTATGATGAATGATAATATACAATATTTTATATATAAATAACAAATATACATTATGAATATAAATAAAATCCATTAAAAGATTTCCCTTATAGTCAGTTATATCATGAATAAATTTTACTTAATTAAAATAAAATTTACTTGGTGAGGTATTTTTTGTAAAAGAAATTTGTTTCTTACACTTTGGTGTGATGAACAAAATAATCAAATAGCAAAGGACTATTAAAATATAACTTCTTATTATTTTAAAAATATTATTATTAATATTTATATACTATTCTAAATAATTCCTCTTCAAGTAAATAAATTATTGAAACAAAATAAGTTTACTTAAATTCAATATACTTAGCATTTATTCATGATATCACATTTTTATAGTGCTTGAAGATATTATATTTTTTTTACTTAGCCGTTTTTACACGTTGTTTATGAAGGGTTTTTGTTGTGATATCACTCATTTTTATCGTTATTGAATATTAAGTATGTACACAATAATCTATAAGAACGGTAATATTGTTGGTAACATTACAACACTGATGCAATTATGACTATGACGGCTACTGTGATTCTGAATTTAATATAAATTTCCATTAAAAAGTTCTCACTTTTTCATTTATAACTTAATTTTTAAACGTACGATTTTGATGATTTTTGCAAAAGCACGTTCTACTAGGAGTTAATTGTGCATTAGAAAATTAGTTATGTCGTATAACAAATTTAAATGTATTTTACACAGTTTAAAATATACACACACCTTCGTGCAGTTATTTTTTTTTTTTTGTTTAGCGCTGGATATAATATTATAGATTACTATTTACTAGATACAGACAAACATCTCCTACTACTTACAACCATTTACACCACCACCCACTACCGACAAAATATGGATAGGAGTGTTTTATTTTAAGTGTTCGAATAATAAATTGTAATAATAATGTATTTATTCATGACAATTTGCATCTCTATCAAAATTAAAAATCCATATTTTACATCAATATTTAAACTTTTTTTTTTTTTAGAGGTATGGTGTATTTTAATAAATTTACATTCAACTAATTAAATTTATCATATATGGTTTAGTTATACTCACTATTGTATTTATATTAGTTTAAACCTTTCGAGGATTAACGGTAGTATGAAATCAGTGATTAGCTAAAAATAATTTTAGGCTCATATAATATAAACCAATAAGTTCATACACTGTGTCACACAATTAATTATTTTAAGTTGATACACAAATTAAAAAATCAAATATTACTTACTATATTGTATTTGTAAATATAACAAATTACAACATAAAGTAAATTTAAACTTTATTCTAATTTCTAACACTAACAATTTTTTCAAATATATTTGTATTAACATTTCCATAAAATCAATTGTCAGTTATTGATTAAGTGTAAACCATCCTTCACATGTAAATTATATTAAGTAATAAATATTTTTTGTACTGTATTTATTTTTTTCAGGTGAAACCAAATCTAATATTTTACCAGGTCTTGCATATTCAGATAGCTCTGATAGTGAAGATGACTAGTTCCTTGTATACAATTTAAGTAAGCTATTATTCAGTATTCTATATTGGTATCATAATTGCATAAATATTTTTGTTTTTAGGAAAATAAGAGATTGCAGTTTAATAATAACCAAAATATTTAAGTGGTTCATAATTCAACATAAATAATGTTCTGACATAATATAAGTATTAAGTATACATTTAAAATTATATTATTCCATAATTAAATTGAATTTTTTGATTGTATTTTCTTATATTTTAATGATAAAAGGTAAAATATATACTTGTTATTTTGTTATAATTTATAACTAATTTATAATAATCAAAATTTTACTTTAATAAAGCAGTAGTAAAAGTTAATTTATGAAAAATACAAGTATTATACCAAGTGAAGATATTTGCCTTATTCATGACAATTTTCATCATCTTATTAAAAAATAATTGAGTTTACTTTGTAGTTAAAAAAGTAATACCCAGTCATCAAAATCTACTACCAGTAAAAAATTAACTACAAATATTTGTTTGATTTATAAATTATTTAATGTGAATTGTGAATCTGGGGGTTATCAGAATGATATTTCACCCCATAGCCATTAAAAAAAAATGTATTCAATTTCAGTCTATTATCATTCTATAATTCAATGTTCAGTGTTCACTTTTATATTTGTAGACGACATGTACATTCTACTCCTTGTCTATCGTTGGAATACGAAGCTCGCCCCACTATAATTTATATTGTTCTCACTAAGTTTAAATTGTAACTTAATTTTATATTTTTCAATTCAGAACAGGCTAAATGGTTTGACAATGCTAAGTATCTGTTGCATAGCCATTCGTCCATAGAAGAAGACAGTGTTGGATGAAATATCCAGGAAACCCCATATTAATGGATATTATTTTGTTATATAAAAATTAAATAAAGAATTTTATTGGACAAAATTAAATATTTAAACAAAGAAAAACAATTTTAGTTATTTTTTTTGGAATTTAAAAATTATTATTCATGGGTACTTGAAACTTTTAATGTACTTTATTATTTTTTATACACACAATAACATTTTAAAACTCAATGTTCATAGAAATTAATTATTTCAATAGTAATACCTAATATAAAAATAATATAATAAAATATACTTAGTAATATGTATAGACCAAAAGACAGTCTTCACTCAGAAACATTTTTCATTTTAGAATGATTTTATATCATTGAATTCAAATATAACACATTTATTACAGTAATCTACAATGACTTGATATCATCTAATGTACAGCAGAGTAATACCCACTTGCCCACCTTTTTTAAAATTATTGTTGGTGGATTAAATTAAGTTTTCATTTGATTTTATCATTTTTTTGATTTTTTCTTTACTTTATTTAGATAAATAATATGCACATTGCATTTTGATGGTCACCGAAAACGTACTAAATTCCAAATGTGGCCTTCCTAAAAATATTAATTGATAAGTTGCAACCCTTGGGCCTTGATCTAATTCATCGAATAAAACAATAACTATATTATAATACTATATCATCTACGGTCCACCCCAAACGTCGGGACGACTATGAATGATGTTGTTATTATAATTTATTACACTGCGATTTGGATAGGATTTTAATTACACAGTCGTGGATTTATGTTTCTGATATCTTATTTTTCTCATTAGGATATTATAATAAATAGCAATTTATAATGTCATTATGTAGTTATATAGGAATATATGAATAATATAAATAAATAAAAATTATATTTTAAGTATTAGCAAAATATTTCAAGGTTCTACAATCAATATTTTTAAATAATAACAAAAATTGCTTGAGGATAAAATCATTATTTAACTTTTCAATATCCAATGATATAACAATTTTGACTTAAATTGTTTTTTTATAATTTCCAGTAAATAAACTTATGACTGCTATGATAAATCTTAAAATATATCTTGGTATTATATTTCAAGGTTCTTTTAATTAAATACTTTTAGGTTCTGACTTCTGAGTGAAACGATGAATGTATTGATTTTACAATGATGTGTGTTTTTTTTTAAATTTTTTAAATTTTTTTATTTTTTTGTGTCCGTGTACACGATAAGTAGTCGAAATAATGCTTCGATTTTCGACTTCAGTACGGCGGTATCTTGTTCGATTGGAAAGTGAATATCGTCGGTGCATTGGAGAGGTCAAAATTTAAATTTCACAGTAGTTTTCAAAAGCGCCAAGAAAAACAAAAAAAAAATTAAGGAAAAACGGGAATTTTTACGCAAAATCGATTTTTCAGAAAATCGATTTTGGTTTTTGGTATAACTTTAAAACAAATGACCATAGATATATGAAATTTTCACTGGTTGTTTATATTTACATTTTCTATGCACGATAACATTTTCAAAATATTTTGATTTATTTTGAACTGTTTAGGGACATTTTCATTTTTTTTTAGTTTTTTTCTAGAAATATCAATAAAATTTTATTTGTTGGTTAAAAAAACTTGAAAATTTAATAGAAGGCTCCTAGTATATTGTTTCAAAGGCAGATGAAAAATATTAACGTGAAAAATCACGAAAATTAGCAAATTTTTTTTAGTTAAGAATTCGTAAAAATTTTTCTTTTTAAATCTAAGATATGAAAATGTAATACAAGATTCCTTATAAGATTTCCTACATTTATCAAAAAAAAAAATTCTATAAGAAAGTCAAATTAAATTTTTATGAGCGTTTGAAATTCAACTTTTTACAACATTGGATATTCACTCGATTTCTCATGTGGCGATTTCCTTATTTTGTTGTAATTCAAAAACGAATTACTGTAGATAAATGAAAATTTCACTGAATGTTTATATTAGCATTTCCTATACACCATACAGTTTTGAAAATATTATGACTCTTTTTGAGCCGTTTACGGACATTTTCAGTTTTCAATTTTTTTAGTTTTTTTTTTCTATAAATATCAATAAAGTTTTATCTGTTGGGCCAAAAAGTGTAAAAAATTAATACAAGGTTCCTGATATATTGTTACACTAGCAATTGAAAAATATTAAAAATACATAGGCACAGTTTTTTTTTATAAGCATTTAAAGATCGCATTTTGACAAAATTTATCAAAATCTCGAAAATTATTAATTAATAAATTATAAAATGTTCAGTTTTTTATAGCTAAGGATTGAAAATTTGAAAAAAAGATTCTCATAAATAGTTCATACTGTAGCCAAAAAATCTAAAAAATATATGAGCACAGTTATTTTTCATAGTCATTTTATGTTCAAATTTGGACGAAATTACATATTAAAAAACCTAGTTATTTTGTTGTGATTATATAATATTATTCATGGGTACCTACTTGAAACTTCTAAAGTGTACTATTATATATCTATGATAGTATCAGGGTTTGTTATTGATGTTGATGTATAACGTGTTATAAGTACCTAATGGATATTGTGATAATGTGATATGATTAATTTGGAATTTATTATAGGTCAATTTTTTTTTAATACCATAGATATGTATATAATTTGTCTTAAACCTAGACTGACATACCGTCTTTGCTCAGAATCGTTTTTCTTATACAATGATATTGTATCATTGAATTCAAATTTAAAGCATCCATTATACAGTGACCCATTGTAACCTACTGTACAGCAGAGCGACATCCACTTACCCACCTTTTTTTAGTTGGATTTCAAAAAATAAATTTTCTAAATGGTGGCATTGAAAAGTGACAAACATAATATGGAGACGTTGTTGGAAGTTTTCCATCATTTGTAAGAGTACCAGCTATCGTTAGGAATTCTAGTGGTTTGTTCGCGAATGGCATACTTAAGTTTTTCAAGTGTTTGAGGATGATATTTAAAAACTTCAACTTTGTTAGGTGCCCTCATACAAAAAAGTCACTAGGGCACTAGGGCAGCGAGCTGACCATTCGAAGTTAAACTAATACGCGTTTGAAAGGTAATCGGTGAAAATACCCGAGGAAAAAGTACCCGTGGAAACAATACCCTGGAAAAAATACTGGCTGGTAAAAATACCCTTGGATGTAATATCCATGAAAATAATGGGTGATTGTAAACTCCGCCAGGTTTACTTTCTTACCTGGAAGGGTATATGGAAACTCCGCCAGGTTTACTTTCTTACCTTTAAGGGTATATGGAAGCTCCGCCAGTATTAAGTCCTTCCTTATGTTTAACTAAATGATATTTCGGGGAATGGTAAACTCCTACAAATGTAGTGTAATCTCCTACAAAAGATAGTGTTAACTCCTACAAAAGATAGTGTTAACTCCTATAAAAGATAGTGTTAACTCCTACAAAAGTTAATACCGCTCGTATTGCTGTAAAATATATCAGTCTTGCAATATATTAACACATAAAATAAAAATGGTTTGAAAAATATCATAAAAATGTTAATAACACAATAATCATTATCATTTACGTTTAAAACAAAATTTTTAAAATATAGATAATAAAAGTGTTAATAAAATAATAGTCATAATCATTTAATCCTAAAACAAAAATTATTTGAAAAATATAATAAAACAATAGTCAAAATCACATACGTTTAAAAAAAAAATTTTTGAAAAAAAATAATAAAAAATTCAATAAAACAATACTAATGCATAATCATTTACGTATATTTTTATGACTTGTTTATGACTTGTTTATGACTTGTTATTCAACAATATTCGATGCCATATCGCTGATCTATTTAAAACATTTTGTACTGCAAGTGCCGATATGAACGTATAGTAAAGTATATAATATGGATATAATCTAACCTTCGAGAATTATCATACAGCGTATAAACAAGCTCTATTCAAGCGTTTGTTTATTAAATAATGTATATTTATTATTTTCAAGTTATGATAATTTTGAGCTTTTTAACTTTAAAATATTTTTAATTAAATTATTTTTTAAAGGGAAAAATTTCTATGTAGGAGATTACAATATCTTCGATTTTCAGGTAAAAATTTTAAAAGGTTATTAGTGTAGGAGTTTACATTTAATGATGATTCAGGTAAAAAGGTTATTCGTGTAGGAGTTTACATTTGGCCGATATTTCTCTACAAAGTAAATTCAAAAAATTAAAAATTAAAAAAAATATTGTGTTAGAGAAAGCTATAGATAAATACCAAATAGTTATAATAATGGATTTATCATTTATATTAGACTTTGGTTTGAGTATCTACAAATTATATCTCATAATTCTAGTTCACAGTTCAAAATATAATAAGTTATAATAAGCTCATAACATATAATATCATAATAATATAATATAGGTACCTACATATTTTTTGATTATTAGTTATTACAATTGTCTATCACTATTTTTTAACATGATACTGGCCATTGCAATTTATATGATTTTTCGAACAATTATAATTTTTATTTTTAAGCTTTTTATATTTTTTGGCAGATGCTCATTTAATAAGGATAATTATTATTATGAAATTATGATTTTTTATTTAATAATAATCTGCATATTATACAAATTGTATTGTGTATACCTACATGTTACTTGATTTTTTTCACTGGCGGAGCTTACATGAACTTAATTTTACTTGATTTTTGTCACTGGTGGAGTTTACATGAACCCAATTTTATCTGTTTTATTTTCCTGGCGAAGTTTACACTAAAAAAAGGTTCTCGTGGTGGAGTTTACATAGCCCAAAATAATATCCGATAGCAGACTGGCTGGGTGGTTGGTGTCCAGTCCCCGCCTGGGCCTGTCAAAAATTTGGGCTGCTTGAATAAATTTGGTCCGATAACTTATGAATATTTTATAATTTTCCCAAAATTGGGCCGAATTTTCTATTTCCCCGAGGCCAATTTGTATTCCCGGTCCTAACCTTATATATAATACGAGTTGTCTCTCAAAAATTATCACACCATAGTCGTCTATGTAAAAAAATAAGCAGCAGTAAATTTATGTTGTATTTTAATATATTGTGTTATAAATTATGATTATAAAAAATTAAGTTAAGCTACAGTAAAATTACATAATAATGGTTAAAAAAAAATCAGCCTTAGAGGTATATTATATTAATTATTATTATTTACAATAACTATTGTACAAATATTATACAACCATTAAAAATAATAATATCGGAAATTAACTAACAATAATTTTATTGATCACTTCAGGACTGGGCAAGTTAATGATTTTTTTTTAACTCAGTTAAGTTAAGTTAATATGCACCAATAACAAAAAGTTAAAAGTTAATTTAACTATAGGTTAACTCAGTTGAGTTAAAAGTTAATACACACTTTTCGTTAACTCTTTATTAAGTTTAAAAAAAGTTAATTTGTTTATACCACACTAGACTAGGTACCTTAATTTTTACCAACCCCATACTAAATTATAGACTATAGTGTTTATACTTAATACAGTATTTCCATATTAGTTAGATTCGAATGATAAACATTTTTTACTTTAAACAATTCACGGTAAATATTTGTATCTACAATGGCATTTATAGAAATGAATATTCTGTATCGGTAAAACCGACTTCGTATATCAAATCAAATTATTGCTGTTTTTTCCCACAGTAATTAAAAGCACAAGCATTGATTAAATTTATCATTCCGATAATAAAACATAATGATGATTAATGATATTTATATTTAAAAACATGATTAAAAAAAAAAAATAACCTTTTTAATTATAATATATCTAATGGTAAAATAAGATTATCATTTATATGCTATATTAATTAGAGTATATTGCCTATTAACGTTGATTAATATAAAAAGATAAAGGTTGAAACAATAGATAAAAGTACGAAATAAAAAGTAAACAACGGTAGTTTGTTTTGTATCTCCTTCGGAGTATAAAGTTTATGTTTAAATCATTTGTATTAAAATGAAATTGTCAATTTTTTTTCTTTTTAGTATTTTAGTGGTAAATTCATTATTTTGTGACGCCAAACTCAATAATAAACTAACGACAGCGACAACGACAGCGACAACGACAGCGACAACGACAGCGACAACGACAGCGACAACATCTTCACCACCAAGAGCATGTGCTTATATGGGCCAACGACCAACGGCAGGTTTCAGTGAAATAAATTTAGACAATCTAGATTCACTCGATACAACTAGTCAAATTTCAAACAAAGATGGATGTAAAGTGAGCGACTATGCTAAGCATCATGTAATACCATTTGCAACAATTAAAGAATTTGTTAATTTAGTGTTACGTGATCCCCTTGTTCAAATAGAAGGGTGTAGAGTTATAAAAAATGTTGGGAATAAATTAAAGAGTATAGATATTAGAAACCAGCTTACACAGAAAGATAATTCTTTTTTAAGATTAACGCAGGGTGAAGATATTATAAACCAGCCTACAGAGAAAGAAACTTTTTTTGTAAGATTAATGCTGAGTAAAAATGAAAAAGGACTTAAGGATATAATAAATAATTCTCAAAATCCAAAAGTATTAACGGAACACATTCAACAATTTGTTACATGGTTTCCGGGTAATATATTTATAGGACCCAGACCTGACAAAAGAGGAGATGATCCAGGAAATGACTTTGAAGAACTCGCCAAATACATTATTGGTGAAGATCGTCATAATACATTAAGACTAATTCACATTAAAATGGTTAAATGTATAGATAAATTTAAATTGTCATCGACAAAAAATGTTGATTATACACTGGCTAATGAAGTTTTAGAATTATTCAGTAAACAATCACAATATCCAGTTACACAATTTTATCTTAACGATTGGCAAGAAAAATGGTTTATAAAAATAAATTTAAAACGTAATCCCAAAAATAAACCTGTACCTGACCCCTCAATAAAACCAAGATGTGTAGTGAGCCACTATTATAGACATAATATAATACCATGGGCAACAATTATTGATTTTTTTTATTTAGTGATACGTGATTCCCTTACTCCAATAGGAACGCGTAGTAGAGTTATTGAAGAAGTTAAGAATAAATTAGCGAGTGAAAATACAGTAAAAGCTATAAACCAACCTACAGAGAAAGATAATTTTATTGTAAAATTAATACAGAGTAAAAATGAAAAAGGACTTCAGGAAGTTATAAAAAAATCTCCTAGTCCAGAAGTAGTAATGAATCACATTCAGCAATTTGTTACATGGTTACCGGGTAATATATTTATAGGACCCGAACCTAACATAAGAGGAGATCATCCAGGAAATGACTTTGAAAAATTAGCCGGGTACATTATTAGTGAAGCTCATCATAATTTATTAAAAGACATGAACACTGAAATGGTTAATTATATAAATACATTTACATCGAAAAATAAGCGTTATTCAATCGTTAATAAAGTCCTAGAACTATTCAGTAAACTATTGTCATATCAAGTTACACAATATGATCCTGACAATTGGCTTTCTAAATGGTTTATAAAAAAAGAGTATTAAAACTTGATCCCAAAAATAAACCTGTATCTGACGCCTCAACAAAACCAAGATCTGAATTAAGACGCGAAGACAATTAAAAATAAATGCAGTATGTACGTACAATGGTATGTATAATTCCGTATTATCAGAAGTAAGTGCAATTTGTATTGCATCAGATGTTATTCTTGTGGCCGTCAATTGTCAAAAGCAAAAAAAAGTTGTAATGAATTATAATGTTATAATATTGTTATTATATTATTATATAGTAGTAAATTGTAGTTGTAGTAGAAAATTGTAGCATATTAAAGATTAAACATTGTATTTGTAAATTATAGTTGTAGCATATTGAACTTTGTACCTATATATAGTAGTAAATTGTAGCATATTATTGAACATTAATAAAATTGAAATAAATTTATGCATAATAATGTATATTCAATTCGGTTGATTCGTTATAATTGCTCCGAAAATAAGAAAAAAAATTTGTATAATCTCGTTTTCTGTGTTTCGTTGAAAATGTTGACCTGTGATATCGATGAATTTTGTGAAACAATTATATGTACAAGTCTGTCTTGTACATAAAATTGTTAATTGCTGTTGTATACGCACTTTTCAGTTTAGGTGACTCCAAAGTCCAAACACAAAAACAATATAACAAACTAAAAATCTTTATTCCAATTATTAAACACACACAAGTAAATAAGAATATCACGTATCACTAGGGATCAAAAATCCGGAAAAATTCGGAAAAAACAGTTTTTCCCAGAGCCTCGGAAAACGTGGAAAAATTGAAGAGTATAAAATTCCAAAAAAAAGTTTTCGGAAAATTAAAAAAAAACCTAATTTTTGGAACATTAAAAAATTGTATTTACTCTTAAAAATTAAAATAATCTATGTAAAAAAAAAAAAAAGGTGCTTTGCTGTACAGTAGGTTACAAGTTGGTCACTGTAAAATGGATAGTTTTAAATTTGAATTCAATGATATTATAATATCATTATTCATTGTATAAGAAAAACGATTCTGAGCGGAGACGGTATGTCAGTCTAGATATAAGACATATTATATACTTATCTATCGTATTAAAAAAAATGTACCTATAATAAATTCCAAATTAATCATATCACAATAATGCGTTATACGTCAACAACAAACCCTGATACTATCATAGTCCATAGTCCATAGATATATAATAGTGTACTTTAGAAGTTTCAAGTACCCATGAATAATATTACACAATCACAACAAAAAAACTAAAATAGTTATTCTAGGTTTTTATTTATGTGATTATGTCCAAAGTTGAACTTAAAATAACTATAAAAATAAACTGTTCTTATGTATTTTTTAGATTTCTTGGTAACAGAATTAACTACTTACGTGGAATCTTGTTTTAAATGTTCAATCCTTAGATATAAAAGATGAACATTTTATACATTATGAACTACAAAAAAATAATTCGATCTTTAGATGCTTATAAAAAAAAATTGTGCCTATGTATTTTTTAATATTTTTCAACTGATATTGTAACAATATATCAGGAGCCTTGTATTAAATTTTTGCACTTTTTGGCCCAACAGATAAAGCTTAATTGATATTTATAGAATAAAAAACTAAAATAATTGAAAACCGAAAATATCCGTAAGCAGCTCAAAAAGAGTCAAAATATTTTCAAAATTGTATGGTATATAGGAAATGCTAATATAAACATTCAGTCAAAATGTCATGTACCTACGGTAATTTGTTTAAAAGTTGCATCAAAAACCAAAAACAATTTTATCGAAAATAGTTTTTTGAGTAAAAGTTCCCGTTTTTCCTTAATTTTTCTTTTGTTTTTCAAGAAGCTTTTGAAAACTACTGGGAAATTTTTACCTTTGACCCCCCAAAATACCAACTAGATTCACTTTCCTATCAGAAAAGATACTGTTGAGGAAAATCTAAACATTTTTAATAAAATTTCATTTTATATCTAACATAAAAAATTACATATTGTGAATTGAAAAATATATAGGTACCTACTTTTTAAAAACAACGTTTCTATGTGTTTCGACATAAAAATGAATACAAAAATCAAGAGGCTAAAATATAATTTTTTTCGTACTACACATTTTATATTAAATTTTTAGTTACCGCGAGGGGCTTTGCCACCCCACCGAAAATAGTGTATTGAATCTATACACATAAACAATAAACATAGAGTAATCAATTTCTATTTATCTTTATCTACAGAGTATAGACTACATCGCAAGTTAAAGATTTATGTCCGTATATTGGTACGATAATTAATTCGGTATTATACATAATATTGCAATAAATGCACATAAATATAATAATACTATATACAATACCTATTATAGACAGTGAATTGCGAAATAAAAATCCCCGATTCTTGGAAAAAACATCGCAGACTTCAATATTAGGTACTCACATCATCACATGAAATTGATTGATTAAATGTTTTTTAAAAGCTAATTAATGTAATTACCACATTGTTAATATTTAATTATAAATAAACACAAGGTTTAGACTTTAGGAATAGCTATCATTAAAAAAATGATTGTATAATAAATAGTGTTCAAACATTAACAATAACATTATTTTGTTTTTGATTTGAAACAACATAGGTAAATATGTTAATGGTTCTTTTAAAAAAATATAGGTAAATACATTCAGTAACTATTGTTTGATAATTATTTGTAATTTGTATCGATTATTCGAAATATTTTAAATATTGTATCTATAAGTAAAGCTTGTAAAATCGACTCCTAATAATACGTAATAATAATTATTAATATTTAAAATTCTTATCTATCTAATTCCCAACGAAACATCAAAATATAATTTTTCACTTAATGAAGAAAAAAGTATAAAAAAAAGCTAGTATAGTAGTTATTACAGGCCATTACACACTTTTTAATTTCGTATTCCACACTTAGTATTTCGTACTACACAAAGTGTGTCGTAGGTACTACACACAATTTTAGTCCCTGTAAAAATCTTCAAGCTTCATGTACCTAGTTGGCATTAATATAAATTCTGCTACTCAATTATTTGCAAATAAAATTACAGTGTCTTGGAGATGTCCGTGTTGTATAAATCGTATATGACAACGCTATCTAACTGGGAAATTAAGCGGCTGCGAGGGCCAGTTCTTCAAGGGCGACTTAGTGTTGAAAATTATTCGGCGGCGTTAGATGGCGCTGCCGTTATCGAAATTATTTAAATCTAAATAATAATACCGGCCAATGCCGTTAGCAGCGTCAGGTTAGATTAAACCATAGATCAAACATACATAGATAGTCAACGACTGAGTGGAATAAATTTGGAAATCATATTCTTGGTGACAATACATGGCTTGGGTTGAGTCGGGTAAAGATTCTCGGGTACAATGCTATGATATTATGTAGAAAACGTTTAGCAGCGCCATCTATTGTCACCAAATTTTTGTTTCCAAATTCTACATAGCCGTTGGCTATCTATGAATGTTTAATCTATAATTAAACCTCACTAAACCTCACTAAACCTAACTAAACCTAACTAAACCTAACTGAACCTCACTAAACCTACCGAAACCTAACGAAACCCAACTAGACTCTCGGTACTAGTGTACTACCGACGATAATTATTACTTCCTACGACCATCTATAATTCAGAACCCCCTTTTAAACTTTTCTTCTACAATATATTGAAAATAGGTATTTTTAATTCTTTTATATATTTTGAGCTGTTTACGGACATTTTCAGTTTAATAAAATTTTATTTGTTGGGTAAAAAAGCTTGTAAATGTAATAGAAGGCTCCTAATATATTATTTCAAAGACAGATGAAAAATATGAATAATCCTTAGTCACAGTTTTTTTTTTATAAGCATTTAAAGTTCAAATCTTGGCAAAATACGGAAAAACCACGACAATTAGCAAATTATTTTGACTGTTCACATTGGTTGTTGCCTTCTCAACATAAAAATAAGATCGAAATATTACGCAAATTAATTAATACAAAAATATAGGATACCGGCACGGGAGAACAGCTGGTCACCCACACACACACACACAATCACCGTTGCAATTATTGTCTTATTTTTGTATATATTATTTAAATGTGTCCAGTGAGTTATTATGAAATATATTATTATTTATAATTATTTTATTTTTAAATCACCGCGTTATCGCACTTCGCCGACTCTGTGAACATTATTTTAAAACGGCCTCTGTGATTTTTGTCTCATATCGTACGTCGTCCCGCGAACACCGAAGTGTGCAAAATTATTATAATATTTTTATTATTTTATTTCTGTGAGCCGTAAGGGCAAAACTTATTGCATTATTATTTTTGTTTCAGTGTGCATTAATCGCCCTGCCAGCACTACCATGCACAAGTCATTTTTTGTTATTGTGAGCCATAAGGGAAATACTTATTAGTATTATTATACATATTATTATTTTTGTCATCTTACGTGTATTATATTCATATTACAGCATAGGACCAGCTAGCTAGTCTGCGCTCCATTAACTGTGAGTTAAAAAAATCACAAATTAAAAACTATTTTTCTGGATCGGAAAAAGGTTTTTTTTTTTAAATACAAAAAAAGTATTCAAATATTTTTATTCGAATACTTTACAAGACTGCATGTCTATAACTATTGAATACAATTTTAGCCAATTTAGATAACAGTAATACATATTAGTTTTATTTAAAATCCATACCTAGCTAAATAAATAACTATATTGATAAAACGGATCAAGTCAATTGTATGTTTATTAGCTCGAGTTAATATTTAAACTTCTATATCAATTATGCAGAATTTGATCATCAAGTCCTCTGGTTCAACTGCAGCCACAATTGGTACAATGGTACAATTTGATAGTCCTTTGCAGGCTGCCCTTCAACCGGCTTTTCTGTTTGCAGTTGCCGTTTTGTACCTACTTGGCCACAATCGTTTGCTAGTGAATAATTTATTGTGCCCGACCACTAAGTACCAACACATAAATTAGTACACCTGAATAGTATACGTTTTGTTCATATTT